TAACTAATTTCTAAACAGATAATTTTCCACGCCATCCACCCACAGTCTGCTGACACGTACAATCCACTGCCCAATATACTCTCTAATAAATTTTTCTCTCTCTATGACCAAGAACAAAAAGCAAAGGGATGCCAGATCTTCAGCCCCACGGTGTGAGGCCCTTTCTCTTTGCTGCTTGTCAGTATCCTATCTGGCTGGGGCAACAAGACCCCCTGCAGCAAATAAGCAAGAGCAGGACCCCTGTAAGAATCTCTCCAGGGAGGGAGAACAATGAATCAGTTTCTCAGCTACCTGGGGTTTCCTCATGCAGGCTTGTCTCCCACCAGCAACCCTATGACACCTTCATTATTGAGGAATCCCAACTCCAATCCTTCAGAGGAATGACATTTTAGGAGCCTTAAAAGGAGAAGCAGATGTTTCTCTAGTGAAGAAGGCAGAGAAAGATGGTCCAGGCAAAGGGACCAGCATATACTAAGGGACGAGAAGGCCTGGAAAAGAATGAACATTTAGGAAGCGTCTAGAGGTCAGCTAAATTAGAGGGTTCCCAGGTAGGGCATGGCAGGGCGTGATGGGAACACACTGGCCATGGATGGCCAGGTCAGGTCCAGATGTGAAAAGTGAAGGAATCCCTTTGTTACAGGAGGACGAGGGGTACCCCAGGACCTCCAAACCTGTCTGCTCTAAATAGGTTCTGCCACCCAGCACATCAAGACAAAACATGCTCCAGTGCATAAAAGCTTCAATGGAAAACAACTTTAATACAATTAGTGTGCAATAAAGAGAAGAAAAACAGGAAGAATACAGTTTCCAAACCAAGCACCAAAAGCTACCCATGCGCTTGTGGGTAAATGCCCAGCCAAACAGAGTTAGCTCAAAACAGGACCCGAGTCTAAGGCATTTCCTGGTGGGGGCCCATAGGAAAGGGGCAAAAGGGGCCAGGAAAGTCTAGAAGGAAAAGAGCAAAATCAGGGCCTCCCCGTGGCGCAGCGGGCTGAGCGCAGGGCTGTGAAACTGTCTGCAGCCTCTGCAGTGTGGGTTCGATTCTGGCAGGCCAGGGAGATACCCACATGGCGCGGCAGACTTCTCCTGCATCGCCCGCTGCTCCCCTCAGCAGTGTCTTTGGTCCGTCTGCCTGTTCTGCTCCCCACTCTGTCTCTGGTGAATTCTCTCACCCTCCCCTGCACCTGGCCTGTACCCCAGCTCTTGCATAAAAATAAAATAAAAAACTAAAAATAAATAAATAAATTAACTAATTAATAATTAAATAAATAAAAAGAAACAAGCAAAATCAAAATCAAAACCCAAATCAATATAAAGGCTGCCAGTGTCAGCCTCCCCACAGGTTTCTTCCCCACATCTCTGTCTCTTTCAATTTTCTCCTTCCATGTCCCCCAAGTTCCTGGTACAAGCCCCAGGCCAAGGAGCAAGTACAGCTTCTTCACATGTCTCTCTGCTCCACTGTCCCCTCCAGGTGCTGGTCTTGGTATCCCCTTCCTTCCTTCTCCTGCCTTCTCTTGCTCCCCGTCCCTGCTCAGCTCCACACTTCCATGACGGGGCAAGGAACCTGGAAACTCCCCTTTCCTGGGGATTGCCTTGTTACACCTTCAGCTCTAAAATCATTCCTGTGTATTGGCAGCAAGGTAGTTTCTCCCTGTTTGGATAATATTAAGTATTCACCTGCAGGAGGGTGGGGGAAGAACTTTCAACAATGCTTAAAGGAAACCCACACCTTGACCATTCACTCTGCTATCTGATGAGCACTAAATTCATTTCCATATGAACGCATGATGTGGAGATAAGACACAGAAACACGAATTACAAGAGACACAGCCGGCTCTTATTAAATTTCCCAGAAACAGTGTGTGCATTAGTCTAAAGCACCTGGAACCTAATGCAAGAGAGATTTACAGGGAGCAGCTGTACAGAGATGGACTAACCCCAGAAATAGGTTTGGCTCTGAGCTGATGTTTTCTTTTCCTCTCTGAATGGAACAAGATAAGACACATTACTTACAAAATGTAACCATTTCTGGCAGTTTTACCTCTGATTTGCCCCCCTACCTCCACCCCCACCCCAAGTGCTGCCAGGCACAGAGACTGGTTCTGAACACAAACCCCAAAGTTCACTATTAGCCGCCTGGGGCCTCTTCAGCTCAAGCCCCAGTGACAATTGCGGGTGAATTGTGCAAATCCGGGGAAAATGCCAGTTCCTGATCCTCTCAGGCTTGGCTCTGTTTTCTGTCAATCCAGCTTTGCACGATGAATTGATGAATTTCCCATATGGCCTAAGGCACCACTGGGCTTAATCCTAATGCATTTTTAACTTCCCCTTTTTTAACCAGGCGCCAAGGAGAAAAGATCAACTTGAAAAAATTCCCTGAACAGGCACCAAGGAAGCAAGAGGCATGAATGCCACTTTCTTTGAAAGGCTGAGGCACTGGGAGTAGAAGAGTTGTCATAAAATGCAGGCTAGAGCTCCAGACCCCCTGGGCTGTGACCGAGGCCAAGGCCAGTGTGGCACCCTCAGGACAGTTGTGACCTGCCTCTTTATGCTCCTGTGGAGAGTTCAGCAGGTGTGATGGGATTTTTTGGAGTTAGTGGGTTTGGAGTGCGGGGTCCTTGGGCTCACTCTGGGAAAGGTTTCACCAGAGCTCCCGTTTCAGCAATACGCGGTGAGTTTCCCAGGCAAGTTTCTCCGCGAGACAGAGACATCGGTTATATTTACAAAGCAGGTTTGTTAGGGAAAAGGACAGAAGAATAAAGGACACTTGCATAGACACAAGCAGGCAGGAAGAGCTGCCCTGAAAGGGACAGGTTTGCTAAGAGAGGCCTGCATGTTTGCAGGCAGGTGGCCTTGAGGAGAGCGGCCTCCGCTGAGGGAGGTCAATGAGGGGAAGTACAGGTCACGGGCAGGTAGGGAGCTGCTGCCCTGCAGAGGGAGAGAGTTGGTAAAAAGAAGCACCTGCATAGGCACAGGTGGGCAGAGGGATTGCTCCCTGAGCCTGTGCAGAGACTGCACTGATATAGTCTTCTCTTGTTTGGGAGGGGCTCACTCCTTGTGAGCCTTAGGTTAGTTGCTTATTTTTTTTTAAAGATCTATTTATTTATGCATACAAGAGCTGGGGTACAGGCCAGAGGTGTGGGGGGTGAGAGGATTCACCAGAGACAGAGTGGGGAGCAGAACAGGCAGACTGACTGAAATACACTGCTGAGGGGAGCAGCGGGCGAGTCAGGAGAGGTCTACTGTGCCATGTGGGTTGCTCCCTGGCTGGGGATGGAACTCGTCCTGCAGTGGCTGCGGATAGCTTCATAGGTTGCATCTTAACCCCTTGTGCCACCAGGGAGGCCCATTTGCTCATTTTGGATAACTATGTAGAATCTGAAAAGGACAGGAGATTCCACAATGGACTTGATCTCCATATCTTTACCCTTGAACCTTTGCTCTGGACACTCCCTACAGCAGCTTGATACCTGCTTGGATCTTATGCTTTGTAATCTGGGCTTTGGCACCTAAGGATCTTGGTTTCCATAGCTGTGTCAACAGCTATGCTAATCTCTTCTACCCCCACCTCCTGTGTGAGCCAGGTTGCTGGTCTTGTGGGGCCGCCTTTGCAGTTTTGCTATTCCTGTCCTCCATCAGGTGTATACCATGTGAACAGTCTTGTTCTGGAAAGAACAGACTTATTTTGCTGTAATCTTGCTGAGTGATCATGGGCAAGTCACTGAACCCCACATTTTCCTCCACTGTTCAACAGAGAGGTAGAGTGGCATGATCTCCAATATCCGCATGATGTTAAGATCCTATTATTTTACTAACAGCAACCTTATGCTTTCACATTGTGGTGGACATGGTGATGGGCCTCCCAGATGGTCCTTCTGTAACAGGGAGCTTCCCAGGGAAAGGGGAGGTGCCAGGTTCCCTGCCCTACCCAAGGGAGGGTATAGCTGAGCAGGGAAGAGAAGAAACTGAAGAGGAGACTGGAGAAGGAAGGAAGCAGGATGGAGAGCCAGAAGGAGACCTAGAGGAGGCACATGGAGTGAAGAGACATGTGAAGAAGCTGTGCTTGATGTTTGGTCCTAGACGGACTGAAACAGATGTGGGTGAGAGACCAATGGCAGCATTGATCTTGATTTTGATTTTGCACTTTTCCAGACTTGTCTGGCTGTTTCTGACCCTTTTCTATGGGTCCCCACCAGAAGGTGCTTTAGACTTGTGGCAGACTTTTGGGCCTCAGTGGCCCTGCTTTGGTTCAACCCTGTTTGGCTGGGCATTCACCCATGAGGGCATGGGTAACTTTAGGTGCTTGATTTGGAAACTATATTCTTTGTCTTTTCTGTACTGCACACTAATTGTATTAAAGTTACTTTCCATTAAAGGTCTTGTATGTTTTGTCTTGGTGTGGCAGACGGCAGAACGTATTTAGAATGGGCAGGTTTGGGGGTTCTGGGGTGTCCCTCTCTTGCCCTGTAACACTTCAGTGAAGACCTTATTGTCCAGAGTTGGAAAGCGTCACCAGGAAAAATTGCCTCAAATTGCATAAAACTATATACCAGAGTCAATGATGCTCCTCAGTTCCTCCTGAATAAGCAGCCTTCCTGCTAAGCCCCTTCATGGAGTCAGCTTCCGAGAAAGCCCAGCCTGTCAAGGTCACTCCATAGAGTTGTACAGTTTGAGCCTCTGACTGCACGTCCCCCCAGCCTTCCTCCCTCATTGTAGAGGAAATGATGTCTCAGATAATGACTTGCCAAGTTCATTCTATAAGCAGGGCTGGGACTAAGTCTTCAGTTTCCCACATCTCAACCAAGTCCTCCTCACTCACCTCAACTTAAACCACTTTTCTTTGCATATGGAGAGAGAGAGATGTGTAGACAGAGAGATAAATAGATTCATCCATCCATCTCCTCTGCGAGGAAGAATAATAAGCAAATGCATGCATTCATGAGCTCATTGCCTCTACTTTATATAAATAAACCATTGGCTTTTGTTTGAGGGAATTTTTATGTCCTTGAGAAGCCATATCACATAAAGACAATAAGCTGTGGCTCAGGAACCAGGAAAGGCTTCTTATTCTCAGATTCTCATTCTTGTGCTGCAAATATGCTGCCATTTGAGAGTAGGATTTTTTCAGAATCCAAGACTGATGGCTGGGGGATAAGAGTGGGGAAGGGTAATCATGTTATGAAATGATGGTTCCACAAAGATTGACGTCATTGGGGAAAGCAGTGTGAAGGAGAAATAGGAAATTTCTGTATACACACACACTATTTGTATATATTTATATACATATATTTATACATACACATTTATATATTTATTGTATATATGTATTTTTTAGCAATATCTTGTGGTCAAAATTATTTCATAAACATTTGATAATAATAATAACTCTCAATGGTTTCAGTTATTCTCACAAAGAGTGGATGACTTGAGGGGTGGGGGAGGGATGGGCAAGATACAGAGCATACTCACAGCACCTCATTGCAAAGCTAGTGTATTTTGAGTGCCACTCAGTGAGGTAGAGGTGATGAAACTTGTTGCACCAGGCATGTGTTTTTGAAAAACATGCTCTCTATGAAAAAGCCAAGGGACGGACATTCTTTAACCAAAGCACTGAACACTGTCTGCTACAGCACCTGTTTTCCTGTTTGGGTTAAATCACCCCAGGTGATTTAAGTCAGACCAGCTCCTTCATTTCATAGGTGAACAAAAACAGAAACCCTGAGAAGAAAACAGCTTTTGCAGGTCGGCCAAAGAGTGACTGATTTAACAAAAGCAAACAATTCCAAATTGGAAATACATACCTGGTCCGTGGTCTGGAGAGCATCCTCTTCTGTTTCAAGAGCCCAGGGTGCATGGGTGGGGAGGAGAGCAAAAGCCAGCTGCCACTAGACTCCCCGCCATCTGCACTGGCATCGGGACTGCCCCATGCAGGCTGCAGGCTCCAGCCAAGAGTTGCCTGCAGCATGGTCAGCAGGTTGTCCAAGGACGGTCATGGAAGTCACGTCCTAAGAAAGGAGCCAGAAAGCAAGAATTAAGCATTTCCAGTTTTATAACTAAATAGCATTCCAAGGTACTATCAACTATAAATCAAATGTGATGTTAAAAAGGAAAAGAAACGAATCACCTAAATGGAAATAACTGTCTCCTATCAAAATATCTTGCAATTAAATATCCATTTCTTCTCTAAGTTCTAATTTTCTCTTAGGAGAAGTCAATGTTTTTGCAGTGACAGTCCAAAGTCATGAGGAGAACAGTGTGAGGTTTTATCCCTGGCACTGAACATTTTAAAGGTATATGTTTTTAATAACGCTTTAAACTGAAATATATCTTATTTATAATCAAGTGCATGAAAATTGGTTTTTACGTTTTATAAACCTGATAACCACTGCCCCGCTGACCAAGACCAAGAGGACATTTCCTGCTCCCTAGAAGCTTCCTGGAGTGCTTGGATATCTAAATAACATTAAAATATTACGAAAATGGAAACCTCCACCATCCGGGTGGCTAGCTCATCCCAAACCTGGCATTTATCCTGAAGACAGGCCTCCTAAGACATTCAGGCACCCGAGCTCAGAACGCCCCACCCACTGCCTTCTCAAAACAGGACCATGCCTTGAGAACATCTTATTGACAAGGTAAAGGAAGGCTAAGGCCTAGGGTAAGGCAAAACTTTATTCTTTGCTCCCTCTAAGGAGCCATGTGGAATGGGGGATTGCCGCAGACCAGCTTTCAGCAAAATGTCAGGTCTGAAGTCCTTGAAAGGAAAAGACGGTCTAGGTGCGGCGAAAAGGACTGAGGGGAAGGGGATGAGGCAGTGAGGAGACACTGACACTGGATGAGGTGCAAGTATCTTCTGCCGAGAGACTCAGCAGGTTCTTTATACTTTTTTAGCAAGCCGTGAGATGACAATATCATGTGCATAGAAACAAAGCAGAAACAATCAGTGCATCCTTTTTTCCATAGACTTTTGGCCACTACGTGCTCTCAGTAAGAAGGCAACCTTCAAGGTTAATAAAAAACTAAGCCTTACACTAAAACTCATTGTTTCAGTTAAACAATAACCTAAGACAGTGGATAGCCGCCAGGACACCCCTATCAGCTAAAGCCTAAGCAAGAAAAGACTTTTCTTATTCGCATGGCCTTCAGCCAGGGGACCGGCTGCTACTCAACTATCAGAACTTTTTCTACCTAGAAACTCCTTAACTCAAATAGCTTCATTAAAAAACTTTCCCAAGAAGCTTCAAGAGAAGGCAAAAGAAGGACCTACTATAATTGTTGTGCTGGATTGCTTGTCAGGCATGTACAATAAATTGTCTCCCATTGTCAAGTGGGCCAAATTGTTTAATAACTAATTTCTAAACAGATAATTTTCCGTGCTGTTCACTTACAATATGCTGATACGTGTAATTTATTGCCTAATATACTTTCTGATAAATTTTTCTCTTTTTGTGACCAAGAACAACAAGCAAAGGGTTGTTAAATCTTCAGCCCCACGGTGTGAGGCCCTTTTTCTTAGCAAACCTTATCTGACTGGGCCAAAAAGGCCCCCTGCAGCCGGGGATGGTGAGAACCTGAGGTTTAAGGAAAACCCGGCGTTTGGGGATGACCTGATAGTTTGTCTTATAAGTTATGGTTTCCAATAAAGAATATTGAACTTAAAAGAGTGTTCATCAGTTTGTTTAATCGCCACTGGGTGGTAGAAACATACATCTTGAAGTTGAAAAACGATGCTTCTGGTGTGTTTAAGTCCCTAAACTGATGTTTGCAGGAAGTTTGCCTTTTCTTTCTTCTGGATTGTAGAATCAAGTGCCAGGTATCAACTTCCATTCCATTTTTTTTTCCCCAGTGGGAAATTTTCTTCAATTCTCAAGTCAGGATTTACTAATATTTGAAGCTGCTGTCACCTGATGATTTTGGAACGGATTTCCCCAACCTTCTTCATTCCAGTACACATTTCAAAATCCTTCATACTTAGAATCTTCACCCTGAAGATTTCTTCTGTGAGGGGTGTGAAATAGAAAGTTGCGGGCCTCCCTGGTGGTGCAGTGGGTGGAACACTGCACTGTGAAGCTGTCCGCAGCCTCTGCAGTGTGGGTTCGATTCCCGGCCGCCCAGGGAGAAACCCACATGGCACGGCAGACCTCTCCTGCCTCTCCCGCTGCTGCCCTCAGCAGTGTCTTCTGTCTGTCTGCCTGTTCTTCTCCCTGCTCTGTCTCTGGTGAATTCTTTCACCCTCCCATGCCTCTGACTACACTCCAGTTCTTATATAAATAAAAAAAATCTTTAAAAAGAAATAGAAAGTTGCCTATATTTTCCAAAATTCAAATCCTAGTTCATAAAAGGGCTTCAATCACTTTCCCCACCTCTCAAAAACACTGTCTCAATTCCTTCCCAGTGCACGTTCTAGTTAGGAACTGAACCAAACTATATTAAGGACAATTATAAATAAAAGACTTGAAACTGTGGATCAGAGGGAGGGATAGTGGAGGAAAGATAATTGTAAATAGATGCCATCATTCCTCATAGGGCCCAAATCAGCCTTTGGAACAAATAAGCCAATTTAATTCCTCTTGTTATCTCTCATAAGTAAGAATTTTGAGGAAATACCAAATGCCTAAGAGTTTAGGACATTTTTTTTCTTTTTCTCCAAGGGGGAGTTGGAGTTATGTGATTTCAGCAAGGTTGGAGGATGGTGTGTGAGGATAGCAAGAGGTTCCAGTGGAGCTCAGACTGAAGTCCAGCCCTTGCTATGCAACTAGTGGGCTCTGCTCATGCCTTGACACTTGTTTTGACAAGGTAAAACTTCTATTTACTTCTATAGAGATGGGTTTGCTTTCTGGCTTCAGGAAAAAAAGATTGTTATGTGTAGATGTCTAAAGCGAGAAATACCACCTTGGCCCAAAGATCTATTTATTGTCTCATTATTTGTACTCCCATTTTTACTACGTTTCTCTAATTATATAATGTAAATATCACACATTCATTGTGAACAACTCAAACCATTTATAAAATATGAAACTTTTGAAATATAAAAATATAATAAAAATTATCTTGTCATCTTACCATAATAATAAGCATTAATATTTTCGTGACATTTTTGCATGCATCTCTTTACATATCTATGTGTTTTTACATAAACAGCATTTAGCATAAATGATAATTTTCCTGGGATATCTTTCCACACCCATGTCAGCAGATTTATCCCCATCTCCATTTTCCCCAAGTAACACACGTATCTTAGCCAGAAAAAAACTTGAGGTTTTGCATGCAAATAGTTTATTTGGGTTCATTACCACGGGAACAGGAAACATAAAGCAGGGAGTGGAAGAAAAGTTGATACCAGGGTGCTTTACTGACCTGGGTACTGCCATGGGCAACTGGGGTTCAATCTCCCTGGGGCCCTCGAAGGAGCTAATTCTGTGGAATACAGAAAATTATCCACCGATGGAAGGAAAGATGGAGGGACCTATTAACTCGCTGATTTCTATCTCCCATAGATCGAGGGTCGCCACATGGGCTATTAATTCCCTCTCCTAGGTTGTACATGAGTGAGCAGGTGCCAGACCAGTGCAGCAGTCATCTCACAGAATGGCTTCAGAAAGGACCTGAGGCAGCAAGTGACACATAAGGTGCAACTGGACTAAGGTGGTGGAAGGTTATACCTGCATGAAACTGCTCACTATGAAACAATAAACTATAGCAGTAAAAAGGTGAACTGAAGGGATAGAAGACATGAGGACTGAGAAATGTCCCATACAGTCTACTCCTTACACCACTCAGATCTATTCACGCACTCTGTGGAGTCCAGTCAGTCACAGTCTTTGATGTGGTGGCCAGTGACAAGCTCTACAAAAGACTCTGTTAATGGACCAAGCCTCCACAGATGCATGTGGTCACAACACCATTATTAATGTGCTTTGTCTCTTTCCCACACAGTCATTCCAGATTCCCCTCTCCCTGGAGCAAACCTATATTCTTCATCCCTGCAGAGTGGGAGACTGAGTCCCTCACCCCCATCAGGACATGGTTGCTGCATGGCCCGTTTGTATTTCTATTTGGCAAGAAGCCCCAGTTCTCCAGAGTTTCTACATGTGCTCCTTTCTTACTCCATTGTGCAGCAGCAACCCTAGCTCCTCATAGTAATCAGGGTCAATTATTCTGAAAACGATCACAATAGAGTTCATTATGGCTCACTGGCTCAAGGAATATAAATGCTTAGGCAGTAGATATAACATCAAATCCAGCAGAACCTTGCTGGTACAAATATGCCTCCCAACCTCCCACCTCACGTCCCTGGAGAGCCTCTAATCTAATAGGGTGAAGGTGTGGGGTGAAAAGTATAAATTCCTCCAGTGCATCATTAGGAGTAATGGTGAGAGTGGCTGATCCTTCTTCACCTCTTAGTTGCAGGATCCATGCTTTCTCAATATTGGAACACAGATTATATATTGGCCATTACTTCAATGTGTATAGCACATGTTGAAAGCTGTCTTCCACCATCTCAGAGTGTTTTGCCCAAGATAAAATGTTAAAAGTTTTTAATGTCTCTCATCCTTCAATTATGCTGTCAACTTCCAGGTGACATGCTGTGTGGTAGAATCAGTGATTCCTGCAGACACGCTGCCAATGTCATACTTACTTCACCATAAAATGTGCCCCTTATCAGAGGCAATGTTATATAGGCTCTATGCTGGTGAATCAGGCAATCTGTTGGCTCTTGAAAGGAGATGCTGGCAGTCAGGGAAGGGAATCTTACATCCAGAATGGATGTCAATTCTTGAGAACAAATCACTCTCCATAACAGGGTAAACTGAGTGAAGAAATCCACCTGTTACCATGTAGCTGTCTGGTCTACTTAAGTGATGTTATCACAGCAAGAGCTTGACTGTGATTTCTTTGACTGGAAATCTGGGCATTCGTGAGTGACAGTGACTGATGAATCACCCATGATGAGAAGAAACTCATGCTACTGGACTCAGGTATGATTAAATCACCCTTGATCTCGATTTCTATGACTTTCAGGGACTGTTGAATAAGCCCTGGGGTGACCAACGAGAGAGGCTGAGTGTTATCCACACAAAGGGGACATGATCTGTGGTAGGTGCTCTCTGAGGTGAGAACTAACATGAGACACAAAGGTCTTAAACCCTGTGTCCACTCCCATGGACAAAAATGCCTCATTTCCTAACTTCCTTTGACGTTCATCTTCTCATCTTGCTCCTTCTCAGCACTGAATCATTCAGAAAGTCACAAACCACTGCCAGGAGTCTATTTTATAGCCATAACGGAGGGAGGTCAACATTGGGAGGTCAACATTGCCACCATTCAAATTAAGTCATCAGGGCACTGCCTGCAGCTCTTGCCACTCCTCACTGTCTCATTGGGTGTTCCTGGGTGAGGCTATTTAATGAAATTGTAGCCCTGGATATCCCATTACATCTCTAATCTTAATATCTTCCTCCTAAAACATATGTTCTTATAAATGGATGTCCTAACATGGGCTGATATAGACATTAATAATGATTTCTTGATTATACTTATGTAATGACCTATGGCTGATTTGATAGATATTGCTCATTTACAAAACCCTACTGTTTAACTAAAATTCAATATCCCCATTTTTTTTTTCGGCATAGGGATAAGAGGATTCAGCAGAGACAGAGTGGGAAGCAGAACAGGTAGATTTACTGAAATACACTGTTAAGGGGAGCATCTGGTGAGATAGGAGAAGTCTGCTGAGCCCTAGCAGGTTCAGCTCCCTGAGCTGGCCTAGATTCAGGCCTCAGTGGTGCAGCACTGAGACTTCACCCCTAGGACACCAGGGAGGCCCAACAAACCAAATTTGCATTACACCTACCATGTGTACTACCTCTGTTGTGTACTTGGGAAGATCCCAGGTCACCACTTATTTGGTTCCTGCTCTGTAAAACGCCCAGGTAGAATTCAGAACAGAGGCAGCAGACATGTGAAGGAATCAGGGCCTGAGGGGCCTGGGCAGTGAGTGGTTTGGCTAAAGGGTTTACACTAGTTGTAGATCTTCTGCATAGGCCATAGCAAGAAGGAGGCCAGCACTATGACAGAACTGGACGCAAAAGGAGTGAAAAAATTTGGGTGATACAAAACAAACTTTATTAGTATTTCTATAATGAACAAGAAACCCTGGAGGAAATAAAATGAAAAAAACGTGAAATCAATTAGGAAACAAAGATTTTTGAATTACAAGAGGAGGGCCAGGTGTCAGTGGGTGGAGGGATAGTAGAAGTTAAACGAGGACATGTGGCTAGAGAGGTGGGTGAGGAGAGGTTTGGGTCAGCGGTGCTTAGTCAGCACCAGAGGTGGGCAGGCAGGACAGGGGTCAGGGGATGGGACCCTGGAGGAATGGCATCAGGTGAGCACCCTCTGCATATGTTGTTCCAGAGCAACAGGAGAGCCCAGCAGGCCTGCTGGGTCAGACAGACAATGCCCAGGGTACTGTAGCTGTTCCTGGGCACTCTGAGCTCACTAAACCCCTACATAGCCTGAAACCCTCCAGATTCCAGCAGGATGTCCCCAGGCTGCTGAGCTAATACCAGCCCTGCTGGGGAAACCAGTCCAGGACCTGCAACCTGTGGGACAACCTGCTGGGCATAAGCACACACCACCTGTTTGTGGGGAGCCAGGCCCTAGCCAGGCCCCAGCAGGGCAGCTGGCAGTGGTGTGTTTACACCAGCCCCACCGCGGGAGACAGGTAGAGGCCAGGATGCTTCAGGAGCTGCCCAGTGTGGGCAGTTCACACCCCCCCTTCTGGGGAAGCCAAGACTGGCGCAGGATCCCAAAGACTTCTTTGAGGATTTTGAGATAAGAGGAGTGCTGCAGGAGGAACCAGACAATGACCAGGATGCTGCACCCCATGGGGACAGTGCTGAGCTCACTCCACCCCTGCTGGAACAGCCAGGCCCTGGCCAGGAGAATGCAGCCTACGCAAGAGCGTCCTGAGCTCGAACCACACCTGTGGGAGGAAGCCACCTCTGGCCAACATCCTGCAGGTTCAAGTGAGGGTGCGAAGGCAGCAGCAGCCCTGCCTGGGGAACCAGCCCCTGCAGGGATCCTGCAGCACAAGCAGAGACAACCCCGGTGTCTGCTTCTCTCCAATCAGCAACTTGGCTGGGCTCTGGCCTGTCCCATGGGCTGCAGGGGAGCCCGACTGTGCTCCTTGAGAAGCGGCTACAGATGCAAGAGGACAGGCCATCAGCCACACGCCAGATTGCCTCTTGCCTTTTCAAACAGACCACATGCTAGAGCCCTGAGCAGGGACCACCCTAAAATAGGGGGCCCTTGGGATTCTGTTCCTCAAATGAGGCAGTTGCAGATGCCAGGTGCTCGTGGTCCAAATCTAGCCCGTGTGGTCTCCTCCAAGGGCCACCTAACCCTACCCCGCCCAGCCGGGCCCATGCACCAGCCTGGGCCACTCACCCTCGGACGGCTCCTCCAGGGATTTCGGGTACTGCAGCCAGTTCCTTTGGACATGTGCCCCAATCTCAAAGTTGCAGGTGCACTTCAACCTGGGCTCTGTGCTGGGACAGATCCCACACTGGGCTGTGGGAGGACAGTCGGGGAATTGCACTCTCTGGATCTCTTCACCTTCCTGGACACAAAAGACCTCCTGGGAGTAAACAGACACACCTGCTGGGTAGCAACCAGCTGGGGCAAGAGGGAGCAGCCATGACGGTTTGGGTCCCACCACCAGCCAGTCTGGTTCTGGTGTAGACATGAGCAGACTCCTGGGTGGGCCAGACCCTCCTTCCTGGAGCACGCACACACTCACTCTCACCGCACGCACACCCGCACTCACAGGGGGAAGGGAGGGGTGGGGGCATCAGAGCCCTGGCGTGGTCTGACCTGTCCCCAGGGCCCCCCTAGTTACCTGAGGGGCAGTGCTGGTGCTGGCCCGAGGCGTACGCACAGGCTCCTCATGCCTTTCGGCAGAGTGTGACACGAGTTTCGTGGACCTTTTTTGGGTCCACTGCGGGGAGACCTGGGCAAACAGCAAGAAAACGTGGGGCCGGGTCCAGGCCCACCAGGCAAGTGAGCTGGGTCAGGTTTGGTTCAGAACCAACTGCCTGGGGACCAGGGTTCCGAGGTCATGTGTGCCCTGTCATCTCGTGGAGGTGATGTCACTTCCTGGGTCCCCTTCCCTGGACTTCCTGCTCAGACAGATGCCCCCCGCTCCCCCCCGCCCGCCACATGGCTACCTGGGCCACTTCCTGTTGGCCCTCCATACCAGGCTCATCTCACAACACTGACAGCAGCACAGCCTCCCAGAGACCTTGGATGGAGCCATGCAGCCAGGGACAACCTGGGGACCCAGGTCTCTGGCTGCTGACCTGGCTCATCCTCCCTGCCAGGGAGCAGGCCCTGCAGCATCGGCAACTCCAGGCTCCTGTCTCCCATGGGCCCAGAGGAGCTCCAGAGTGTGGAGCCTCTCCCTGGGGAGTGGGCCACTCCTCTCTGCTGCCCTTGGAGGGGAGGCTGGTGTCAGGCTCACAGCACTTGGAGGGTCCCACCCGGGGAAGGGCACCTGCACACGCCTCACCCAGGCCTGGCCAGCCCTGCTGGGGGCAGAGACATCTCCCACCCGGGGTGCCTGTCCTCCCACCCAGTGTACCTGTCAGCCCTGCTCCTCTCTGGCCGTGCCCTACAGGGCTTGCGGGCCCAGTCAAGGTGCCAGGGCCACAGACAGTGCACACCTGCCGGCCACAGATTTCTCAGGGCCCCCTCCCTGCTCACACACCTGCCCACCTGCCTGGAGGTTGTATTGACTTGGGACTGGGTTCTGACTGGGACGAGGCCACCCAAGGCAGGGGGTGTCCACTCCAACAGTGACTGATGCCAGCGAGGCCTCTTCTGTCTCCTTCCCTGTCCTCACTGGCTGACTCTCCCTTTCTCTTTCTGTATGTCCCTCTGATGTTCTCTCTACCCCTCCTGGTCTGTCCTCATCTCACTCTCTGTGTGTGTCCCTGTCCCTCTTGGCCTCTCTGTCCCTGCCCCATTCCTCTGTGTCCCTGTCTCAGTCTCTCTCTGATCCCCAGTGTGCAGAGGACCAGAGGGAGGGAGGGAGGAGCACAGGGGACTGAGGTGATGGTGCACGGGTGCCTTGGAGAAGGAAACTCTATGGGGACTACACCTGAGGGGGTGGGGGAAAACAAATAGTCTTTACAAGTGAAAAGTGAAGTTAAAAAATAAAAAAAAGAAGAATATAAAAAAAAATACAATCACGCCTGCAGAATCCTCATCCTGTCTGGTTTCTGCAGCAGTGGGGGTGTGAACTGTCCACACTGGGCAGTTCCTCAAGCATCCTGGCCTATACCTGTCTCCCGCAGTGGGGCTGTTTTGATCCTGTCTCCTGGAGACAGCATAAAATTGGGTTTTGTTTTTTGGTACAACCAGTCACTCTGTGTCTTTCTCTTTGGTGAGTTCAATTCATTTCCATGAAGGGTGATGACATGATGACTTTCTACTGTGCTTTTGTCTTTAGTCAAATCCAGGCAAGAAATGTGTGGTAGGGCCTCCCCGGTGGCGCAGCGGTTGAGCGCTGGGTTGCAAGGCTGCCCGCAGCCTCTGCAGCATCGGTTCGATCTCTGGCTGCTCCCCGGCCACCGGAGGAGGGTCCCACATGGCGCGCAGACCTCTCCAGCTGCCCGCTGCTCCCCTCAGCAGTGTACTTCATCAGTCTGCCTGTTCTGCAACCTGATCTGGCTCTGGTGAATTCTCTCACCCTCCTGCACTTCTCACTGTACCCAGTGCTTGTATAAATAAATAAATAAATAATATCTTTAAAAAAAGTTATATCTCAATAAATTTGCTTTAAAAACATAACAAATAGGGTCTACAAGTTGCCCTGTGTCTGTCCTCCACAGTATCCTCATCAAGGGCTTGTGGGCAGGGAACTGCCTGAGCCCATGAGGAGCTGAGCACAGACGGTTTCACTGGACAGAAGCTGTCAAGGCGCCTCCTCTGCGTGGTCCTGAGTCACGCGATGAGATGCTGACATCACGCTGCTTCTGTGATGGGAGAGACTTTAGGGGCCTTGGGTGGGAGGCAGCTTATTTTTCATGTGGGCAGAATGGAAATAATGAGTGTCCAGAAGGTCTACTGTGTTGGTTTTCAATTCTCCACCAGTTCTGGGATACACAGGAGGGGAGACAGTTCCCCCGTGAGTGTGTCTGACTCGCTGGCTCTTCCTCGTGAGGAGAATGAAGCAGAAGGGACGCGCCACGTCACAGAGTCAGGCTCACAGGGGCTGAGACTTCCCGCCCGGGCTCCCCTCCTGGTCCCTCTCTGGGTGACTCCCTGCACACGGTGGACCCTCAGCTAAGGGGACGCCCACAGGACAAGGACCTGAGGGTTTTCTCCAGGAGCCACATGCAGGAGCTCTGAGGCAGGTCCTTCCACGCTGATCACGGCCATTCAGAGTCGCCAACATCTCGTCCCCATCGCAGCCTCGTGGGACCCAGAGCTGGAGCCTCTGAGTGAGGCCCCTCCTGCCGCCTCCCCTCAGAGACTGTGGAGACGCCAGATCTTTGTTTTAGGTGCAAAGGAGGAAGAGATTTGGTACAAACCAGTAAAATATTCAGGCGATAAAGTGATCAGTGGCTGTTTTCTCACAAGAAACAGTGGAGGCCAGAGTAGCTCACGTGACGGTCAAGGTCCTGATTGCAATGAGCTGTCAGACAAGGAATCCACGTCCTCTGAAGTGTCCTTCAAAATATGTGATTTTTAAAAATCAGTTCTACCGTTTTCAGATTCCCATTTAATTTTGCTGTTTTGTTTTCTTTATACTATCCCCAGAGCGGTGTCTTCAGGGTCACGGCACAGAGGGGCTGTCAGCAGCCTGGAGCTGTGAGCAGGGCTGACTCTAACCTGCTAGCAGGGAGTGGGGCCTGGAGCCCCAGAATCATTCCCCACAGATGGCCCTCCAGGGCAGCACAGGCCTTTCTCCTCTTGATTCCCTGAATCACCTCCTCTTCATTGCAGGAATCTCCCTGCCACCCCAGCATTGGGGAGTTGGGGAGGATGTTGAGGCTCAGGAAATGGGGGCCTCCTCCTAACCATCTGTCCTCTCCTCCTCTCTCTCCTTCATCAGCCTGAGTGTGCGTGTTTGAGTCACACCAGCCCTGCACGGACAGGAAAGGCCCAGAACTAAGTGATTCCCTGGTCAGTTACAGCTCCAGCCCCTCTGCAGTCCCACCAGGGGAGACAGAGACTCTCCCAGCCCCAGCCAGAGCCGCGTCTCCCACACAGACCTTCCCCTCACAGTGTCCCCGATGCTGCCCCTTCCTGGCCCCACCCTTCCTGGTGCCCCCACCACTCTTTTGGGCCCCATCCCTAGTCCCCATTTTCATCCTCTGCTCCATTTCCAGGAGCCTCCCTGTCTTCCTAGTCATGCCCTGGGGGCTCTCCTCAACCTCCCCTCATTCAGGGATGGAAAATTTTTAAAAGATGTATATTTGTTTATTTATTTCCTTACAGCGTGGGTCATCTTTCTATAGTTATTGTTCCTCTTAGGTGCGGCCCTTCCACCAATGATCCACCACACACCACCACCAGCTCCCCGGGTCTCTCCCCGGCTCTGATCACTCCTGCTCCCCCTGCTGCAAGACGTGGATGGTGGTTGGCCCCGGGTCTTGGTGTTTTCCTGGAACCTTGTCCTTTTCTTGGGCGAGGCCCTGGGCTCCTGGGTAGAATTGAATGTTAATTCCCTGGAAGCAGAAGCAGAAACAAAGTACAGAGACTCTGGAGTCCAAGGATCCATCCGAGACTGAAGGAACCTCTATATTTGGGGATCAGCCCATAGTCTGGGAATCAGCTGTAATGACCTGGAAACCTGCTTTTGTCCTTTGTCCATAGGACTAAGAAAATTTGGGGACTTCTGACCTGACACTGGACTTGGGCGCCCCCTTGTGTGCAGATCCCTGTCCTGCCGCTGGGGGCCCAGGGAGCCTGGGGAGGGCCTGGCTGAGCAGGAGAAAGGGCGGCTCTGGGCTCCTGTGCTCAGCCCTGTGGCCACAGGGGGCGCTGCCGCGCTGCTCCGGATTCTGGTGGCGCCGCCAGGACGGGGCGGGGGCTGAGGTGGGCACAGCTGGGGATGCTGGAGGGCGGCGTCCTGGGGTGAGATGCTCTGTGAGGAGTCAGAGCAGCAGGGCTCAGAGGAGAGGAGACTCCGGAGCCTGCCCTGTGTGTGAGGTTTCCAGCTTTTCTCCCAGAACCCTCTCTCCAGTCCCTGGACGGTGATACCTGGGAAAACTGGAAAAGAAAAAAATTTTCTTTATATAACCTATTAAATATTGAGAGTATTTTAAAAAATAACATTTAAAGAATACTGTTCGATTTACAGAAAAGTTGCAAAGGCAGTACACGTCTTGTTTATCCCACACCATTTCCATTTTGTTAACATCCTGCATGAGTACAGATTTTTCTTTTACCACTAATGCAGCAATGTTGACATAATAACTAAACGCCATACTTTAATTCGTTTTTGCTAATGTCCATTTTATGCCCAATAATCCCATCCAGTTTGCCTGGATGACAGTTTCTCAGACTTTCCTTGTTTCCTTGGGAGAGGTGTTGGGGTCACAGATGGGGGTTCTTGGGTCACCTCTAAGAAAAACTTCACCAGAGTCCTCCTTTCAGTGGGGTGAGGGCACACACACACACACACACACGCATACATATGAAAAGAAAGAAGTCCATGCTTGCACAGA